CAGACCCAGTGAGGTGTGCAAGGCCACTGGCTGACTGCAGTCACACATTCATGCGCAGATAAACCAGGCGAAAATGGGCAGCGAAACAGACTGTGCAACCCAGGGACCCAGAGACGGGAAATAAAGCCTAAAAGCACTGATTGAAAACACTTTTGAGGGCTGAGGTGCCGGGAGAGACTCCCAGCCTCACAGGAGAGTTTGTGGGAGAGACCCACAAGGTCCTAGAACGTACACAAGCCCCACCCACCTGGAACCAGCACCAGAAGGGCCCATTTGCTTGTGGGAAGTAGCAGAAGGGACTGAAATACAAACAGAGCAAGCCCCCACATACAGCATCATAGCCCAGTGACTGGTCTTCCTCCAGAGCCTTCCAAATAAAGAATGCAGAGTTGGCTCAGACTGGCTGTGACCCACAGACCCTTCCAAAGCTTGAGGGCTTGGTAGGGTTGGGTGACTGGGGCCAGGAGATCAGGGTTAGTGGATTCCCTTCCTAGGAGCTACGCAGTCAGGCACTCAATGAGGGGAAAGTGGCCCAGAGCCTAACCACGCAGTCTCTGCCAGAGTCTCCAACCCTAACTCTTCCAGGAAGAGCATGCTGCAGTTTCAGGTTGGGTGCAGCCAGCCATCTCCTCTGCAGGAGCAAACTCAGCAGGGTAGAGCTACCAGGATTGGGGAGAACATATCTAAAGAGTCTCCCATTAGGGTGTGCTGGGCATACCCGCAGGAGGGGGACAAGTACTTTTTTCTGGTCCTAGACAGTAGCCTCTGAGGAAGACACACTCTGAATAACCCAGATCTGAGCAGTACTCCATTGCCCCTGCAGAACTGAGCTCAGTACAGTGTAGCCACTGGGACTTCGAAGGACAAATCCAAACAATCTCCCATTGCGAGTGATGCCAGCAAGCCTGTAGGAGTGGGGTGGTCACTTCTTCTCCTTTGAAGTATAGCACGGCCTGAGCTCACAGGGAAGGTAGAAGCACCCCCATCCCCTCAGGATCTAGCCATAGAACCCACTATCTACCTGAGAGATTCCCAGTTAAAAGCTTCCTCAGGAGATATACTCTGAAAGACCCAACTCTGCATGGCTCTTTTACCCGAACTAACAACTAAACTCATCAGGGTGGGGCCACAGAGTGGAAGGGCAGGCCAGGTGATTTAACATGGTGCTTGAGGTAGGGAAGATTGGTCTGCTTTCCAAAGCTACACAGTTCAGTCACTGCTTGAGTCCCCACCAAGAGCTTCTCCAGAAAAAGAGCACCCCAAAGATCCCTGCTGGGTGCAGTCAGCAGACCCTCTGCAGTACCTAAGCACAGCAGAGTGTTGTCACCTATAGTTGTAGGACCAGGCACTGCACTCCCCATGCTTGTGTGGTAATAATAAGTATTTGACCCTGGGATGGTGGGTTCTGGGTCTCTGACTCTCTTCTTTCTCGGGTGGACGGCACTGATTATCATAATCAGATACTAGTAGGCTCCTCTTCCCATCTCTGTTGCTCTGTTTAGGATCCCTGCCTGGGGTAGAGATTCCACACTCCTGGGTGAGGGGGCAGCTTTGTAGCCAAGATATCCCTCCAGCTTTTCAGCCACCACACATGGGTCCAGGGGCCAGCCCTTTCTAAATCTTCGTCCTTCTTACTAGTCTTGGTGTGGGTTCTTCTGTAAATGCTTGGTTGCAGTACCGTGGTGCCTCAGGACTCATTGTTAATTTGTTTCAGAACTCGAGAAGGGTACCGAAACTGCTGAGTACCTAACATGACAAGTGGTGAAGCACTTTCTCTTGCGGAGCAGCATTGTGACTCATACAAGTTCTATCAGGTGTGATGAGTCCCGAGCAAGTGCCAAGTGCTGAAACATTTTTTCTTGTCAAAATGCAGTGAGCACAGGGTTTGATGAGTTCTGAAGCTGATGAGGACCCGGGTATGGCTGTATTTTAGTTCAGCTAGTATTTAGTTGGTTATTCAGGTTGATTGGTCTATAATTTACCTGTAAAACATTTCGGCACTGGGAACAGGTGAGTTTAGCTTCCATCTACTCTGCAGCCATTGTGGAATCCTGGGCAGTTTCTTTTTTACTAATTTTTTCCTGGTGTTTTTATCAGTTTTAACCTCCTTTCTCATTTCTTTGTTGGTATAATACAGACACACTCCAACTTTCCCATGTTTTTAGTCATTCAATCATATGATTACCCTATTTTGTCAATGTACTATTCATATGCATAATATTTATGTCCTACATTCATTTTAAAAGAAGTAGCAATACATTAAATCATATATTTTATCTGCCATTTTTTATCCTTTCCTGAGGGCATAGTTATGTATTTTAGAGAGAGGGGAAGCGAAGGAGAGAAAGAGGGAGAGTAGCATTGATGAGAGAAGGAAACATCAGTGAGTTGCCTTTCATGTGCATCCTGACCAGGGACCAAACCCTTTAATCTAGGCATATGCCCTGACTGACAATCGAACCCATGACTTTTCAGTTTATAGGATGATCCTAAATCAACTGAGCCACACCAGTTAGGGCTACCTGCCTTTTTTTTTTTTTTTTTTAAGTTTTATTCTTATTGTATTTATTGGAGTGACATTACTTTAAAACTTATATAGGTTTAAGGTGTATAACTCTGTAATACAGCATCTGTATGTTATATTATGTGTTCACCATCCCATCAAGTCTTCCTCCGTCACCATTTATCCCCCCTGTGCCACCCTCCTGTGTGACTCTCCATCCCCACTTAACCTGCCTTAACAGTTGAAACCATTATCATTGGTTTGAAGTTGATGTAGGAATACTAATCTGGAAGTTTACCTTCCCCAGGTTGGGATTCCAGGAAAGGCAATATTTGAGGTAGTGTTAGTCAGCATTTATCAAAAGAAAAACAAGTTGTTTGTTGAGTAAAATTGAAGTTCATCATAGCAAATTTCTTTTTATTTTCCTTCTGTAAATCAAACATTAATACCATGGCATCTTTGAATCATTGTACTAATGAATTGAAATATTTCTGTAATCTATGCCATTTATGTAATAGGCATTGTAGACTGCTTATATTATAGCCAGTCTACTTTACAATGATAGGTACTTTAAAACTTTTACCTTGAAATAACTTCAAACTTTCAGTCTCTATCTAGTGAGTATACTAGATCCATTACTTGTAGTGTGTTATTACAGATATTTGTGTATTCATCTGCTTCCCTACAAAAATTTTTGTTTCTTTGCTTTGTCATACTCTTGATTGTATCTATTACATACTATGAACTCAATGAATAAAACAATGCACTCATTATTTGTAAAGGCTATAAATGGAAGTCCTTAAGTTTTCAGTAGTGTTTTTGCTCTAATGTGTATACTAATACCCCAACAACCAACAATCTTAACTCCTAATTGTATAGCTTTAATAACTGACAATGAAAATGATTTTTAAATAGCTGTTTTAAACCTCCTACAGAGTTATATAATTTGTCATTTTAGTAACATGCAGTGCTGCTCTAGTTATTTTACTGTGGTCTTATTTAGCACATCAATTATATACCTAATATGATATGAATTAAGTTAAATTTCATTAGTTTTTTTTTATCATTCAATCATGACACTTTAAGTATGTGAAATCTCAAATAATGATCTGAACACTAGTTCTATTAGCAAGAATAAATGGTAACATCAAAGAGTTTAAATGTAGAGTTTTCAATAAAGATAATTTGGTTAGATTGTTATTTTCTAATGGAAACAAGAGTGTCATTTATTAATATATATGAGACAGGAGATATCCTAAAGTATCTATAAGTTCCTTACTTTTGATACTCCTTTTCTGGTATCTAGTACTTATAAAGTCAAATACATAATCAGAAAGTTCCTTTTTAAGCACTGAATTAGAGCAGTATTAGGTAGGTATCTAGGAATTTTAAGAACCTAGAGCACCGGTCTGATAGAGATATGATAGTAGCCACAAATGCAAGCCATAGATGTAATTTAAAATTTTTAGTAGCACATTTTAAAAACTCAAAAGAAGTCAATGAAATTAATTTTAATACAGTATAGCTTATTTAACTCAGTATCTCTACAATGTTATTTTAACATGTAATCACTATTTTAAAATTAACCTTTTTTATACTAAGTATTTAAAGTCTGGTATGTATTTTATACTTAATGTATATGTTAATTAGCACCTTTACTTACTAAGTACTTCAGTTACTTAAGAAAATTACTGAATATTTCTGTGTCTCAATTTCCCCATTTTTTACAATGAAGACAGTTATAACAGTTAAATTAGATCATATATAACATGCCTAGGAAGTGTTAGGTGTTACATAAACCTTAGTTGCTTTCCAAAAATATTTCAAACACATGAACATGACATGTCATGACATTACTGCCTCAAGGCAAAGATCATATATTAAACATTAAATTTGTAACCCTCGAACATCGTCTTTTTTCATTGCACAGTGCTGCATACACAAATCTCTCTGAATCCTCTTTTAAATTATTTTTCCTAAAGGAAGCAAAATCAGTACTGTTTTATCAGTTGTGACAAATATACCACACTAATGAGTAATTTTAAGAAAGAAAACTGTGGTGGGGCGTCTGTGAAATAAATTTCTTTACTTATTGCTTAATTTATCTGTAAACCTAAAACTATGTAAAAAATAAAGTCTGTTATAAAAAAACAAAACAAAAAAAGCAAATACCATAACTGCCATTTCGTTTTGATATATCTTAGTGACAATCTATCAGCAAAACTGACCATTTCAGATTCATTAAAACCATCGATCATAAAAGTTTAGTATGGTTAAAAATCTAACTTAATGTTTTTTCTCATTCGGTAGTCATTCATTATCCACTTCCTTTTAACTACTATATGGAAAAATTAATCACAAAATGGTTGTTTTTTCCTCCACAATTATTGGGGTGGACATTGGGGATTATTGGTAGCATTGTGATGTTACTAGCAGAAATAGTTTTATTTTTTTATGCACTATTGCCAGCTTTGAGAATATTTTCCTCTGATTTCAGGTTGGGTGGGACGATATCAGCATACAAGATAGTACCAGATGAAATAGAAGAAATCAAGGTATAGTATGGCATTTTTCACCTCTACAAAGATTTAGTATCTTGGTGGGAATTGGGAGAATAATATCTTATTCTTTATGCTGTTGAATATTTAGGTGTGTTAGTATAGCATTTAATTCCCAGTTATCCTATTTGAATTTTGTACACACACAGGCACAGGGTCCAGCAAAAGGAGTGCCTGTTGAGTGTGGTTGGTAGGCTAATAATATGGGTGTAGTAATTAATAGTTTTAATTTGAAGACTTCACCTAGTATGTCATATGGTAAGCTTGAGTGTGATATTGTTATGTTACAGAATTGTTTGCCTATGATTTTATAAGATTCTGTAATAAAAATGGGACATTATTTATGCCAGACTCTATGCATTTATATGTGTGTGTATATATATCAGATAACCACCATCAGATTTCATCTAACATTATCAATGCATTTCTATAAAAAATGTGAAGAGAATCAAAAAGGAACCCTCTCCTGTGAAATTCATTGAAAATATACTTAAGAAAACACTACATGTAAGCATTAGCATGCACAATGTATTATCTTTTTATCTTGTTTTAATCTCTTTTCCCTATGAGCTTGCAGCAGTTATAAATAATATTAGTCTTCTAGTAAATATTTTCTGGTTCCTTTGGAAACAATATTTTAATTTAAAATTTACAGTACAGTACAGTATAAAATTTAAAACTGACCTTTTTAAAAATTAAAGCATTACTACAATCTTCTGTGTGTCTCTAACATTTTACTAAATCCTATGGACTGTTGGTCTTCTAACATAACATGTGGCTCTTGTTTAAAAGTAATTTAGCCAAAATACATATATGTATATGACAAGGTCTGTCCAGAAAAAGTCCAGCCATTATTAATGTAAGGAGAATGGTTTGTGCGACTTCAAAGTAAACTGGCAGCCAAGGAGAGTGGACTGGAATGCTCATGCGTGAACAATGACAACTCCAGTGTACTAGTCAGTGAGGGCAGTGAATGCCATTGAGTGGCATGTGTACTCTGTCACTGTCAGATTCAAAATGACTGAGCAAGTAGAGCAATGAATCTGCATCAAATTTTGCATATTCCTGCATGGGAACTATTGGATGATTCAGAAGGCCACAGCTACAAGCAACTGGTGATTGACAGCTTCATCACGCCAACATGCCCACTCATACATCATGTCTCCTGCAGAATTTTTTTGGCAAAACATCAGACCACCCAGCTGACTCAGCCCCACTATAGCCCAGATTTGGCACCCTGCAACTTCTGACTTTTTCCAAAACTAAAATTACCTTTGAAAGTGAAGAGATTTCAGACCATGAATGAGATTCAGGAAAATACGACAAGACAGCTGATGGTGATTGGGAGAACTATGACATCCCACACTGCCTACTTAGAAGGGGACTGAGACATCCTTGTCTTATGTACAGTGTTTCTTGTATCTTGTATCTTCTTCAATAAATGTTTCTATTTTTCATATTATGTGGCTGGGTACTCACTAGACAGACCTCAGTATGTGCATAGCCCAATGTCACAATGTAGTGAAGGCCAGGGGCAGGGCCTTGGTGGCAAAGAGGGGAAAATGGGGAACATCTGTAAAAGTGCCCATAATTTTTTTTTAATTTACAATCTAACAAAAACTGAACTTACTACCTTTTTCATAAATAGAATTTGAACAATTGTATAACAATAGTCAAGGATAAACAGTACTGAGTTAAGTTCTTTAAAATGACATGTAAAGCTCTCAACAAATCATTAAGCTTGATTTGGTCACTTTTCAAAACCAAGTTCAATAAGTTCAATCTTAATAAATAATTTCTTAATTTGTTTATTTAATTTTTATATTAGTTGAGCTCATTGTTCTTTATTATATAATATACTATTAGTTTCAGTATGTCAGGTATTATGTATAGTCATCAGAAATTAATGCCATGGTTATATTCTAGCATTTAAAAAAAGCAGTGTCAAGAGACTTAAAAAAAGCAGTGTCAACAGCATGAAATGTGATATAATTTCACAAAATAATTGGCTGGGAGGAACCTTTGGTCTAATCCAGATTTCTCGTTTTTCAAAAGAGAAAATGGGAATTAATAAAGGTGAGTTTCTTAAAATTAATTGTGATCCATTACTTCCAGAAATATAATCAAGGGTTTAAAGGGTCAGAATAATGTGAGCATACTTCTTGAAATATGCATTATGTGTCAGTAAAACTTAAACTGTGGAAGCTTTGGATAATCAATCAATATATATATATATGTATATATATATATGTATATATATATAATTAAATAATATTTATATAGAGGATATAGAGCTGAAATCCATCTTTCTAAAAGGTGCTCTGTCTTATTTACAATAATAATATGTTAAGCAATTAAGGTAAATAAAATGTTCTTGAAAGACATGGGAAGAACACTTGGCCATTTGAAAAAGATAATCAGGAGTCTTTTCAAGAACTCAGCAAGCTGGAGTTTTATATAGTTCTGTATTCTGTGAAAGCATGTAAAAATGAGATAATGTGGCAACAGATCACAGGGTATAAAATAAACTGTTGAGCTATAGGGCTGACACTGGGCCTTTATGCCATGTTAAGAAATATAGATTTTATGCTGAAAACTACAGGGTGCCATCATGGGATTTGAAGATAGAAAGTAACATAATCAGTTTGGTAAAATTTTTTAGGTTTTTCTGTGATGAATGAGAAAAATTATTTCAGTGAAGAGGAGTTTCCATCTATAATGAAGGAGAGCAGGTGGCAGGAATATAGGCACAAAATGATTAAAACTTGAGCTAAAGTGGTGGCAGTAAGGCTTAATAAACTCAGATTCAAGAAATATTAAAGTAGAATAAAAAAATACTTGGTGATTTATTGAATGTTTAGGAAAGATGGACTCAGGTGTTTGGATTAGGAAATTGAGTAGATTGTATTAACTGTTAACTTGAAGAGAAAATACAAGAAAAGGACTAAGTTGAGAGAAAAGAGTGTAAGTTTTGGACTTACTTACTTTGTATTATGTGTCTCTCTCAGATAACCAAATATTCACTAAGTCATTTGTGGGGGGGCTCCACCCGCAGGTCCCCACCCCCTGGCCCGCTGCCAGCCACCACAGATGAGAATAAGTCTACCAAGACATGATCTTCTTGGGGAGGAAAGGTGGCCGATGTCTCAAAGGAGAAGGGCCAAGCGCCTTTTCCTCAGTGGGCTTTTATTGGGTTCATTTTGCACAGGAGTACAGGTAAAGCTCATTAATCATTGTCAGGCAGTAAAGATCAAACAATAGATAGCATACAAAGAACTACTAGGGTTTATTCTGAGTCAGGGTCTGTTAGCTAAAGGGCTATAAAACTTTGGGAAACAAACTTATTTCCTGCTCAGACCCGTATCATTTAATTGAGAGTATTCTTAGCAAAGCAGGTTTCACAGGATTTTATATATTCTTTCTTTGTCCTGATTACCCGGGGAACCCGCCCTTTCCAGCACGGGCTGCACTGCCCTCTGTCATTGTGTCAAGTATAAGGCAGGAGAAGTAAGGCAGCCAAGAGATTAGGAGACTTCTTACAGACAGAATGAGGACTCAGGCTATGTCAAAGCCAAGGGGCAAGGGTCTTTCACCCCCTTTTGCTATAGCCCCCCAAGTCCTTCTCTGGGGCCTCCCCATGATTGTCCTGTCTTAGGTCATTCCTCCCTTGAGGAATCTTACCTGTCATTAGCTAACCGATCAAGCATTGGGAGCCAGGCAGAGTGAAGTAAAAGGAGCAGAGGCAGCGCCCCTGCCAGGGAGATAAGCTTTGTCTCCTTAGTGGCTTATGGTCCCAAGATCATTCACTCAGCCTTAACCATGAGGGGGTTGCAGCTTCTGAAACTAGGCAGGGCAGTTCCCAACAGTCATTGGATAAATCAGCTGGAACTCAGAAAAGATAATCCTGTCTTGTCATTGATATTGGGATTGTCATTATTCAAGTTAGTTGAGGCTATGCTCATACATGCAATCATCTAAAAAATTTGCCTGAGGTAATAACAGTGGACTGAAACCCTTCCCCGTGGAAAGCACTATTATAGAACCAGAGGATTAATATATTATTGTTTCAGTTTAATTAAGCACAGAAATGTTGCCTATTTATTATAGTGATTTTTCTCTAAAGAGTTTCTTTCATTGTGTTTTTTTAAAATTGTAGAGTTACATGAGTTATCACCAAAGAGATTTTTATGAAAAAAAGCACAGTTCACAGATGACATTTGGTGATATGATTTTTTTCTATCAACTACTAGTATTATATCTAAAACAGCTTCAGAGAGCTTGGGGCCCAAGGCATAAAATATATGAAATTGATTCTTGCATTCTAAAGTGTTAGAAGAAAAACTATTATAAATTATTTTACCAGCATATGATACCACCATTAACATTTTCAGCTGAAATCAGATAATATGTATAATTTTTTTGTTTTCATTGGAGGAAATGTAAAACATCTGATTGTAGTACTCATTTAGTTGCATAATATCTGAGTGATTTTAAATTATTTAAGTAGAGCAACTGAGTTTAAATTTGAATTAATCATTATTTAGTTTATACATAATTTGAATTAAATATACATATATTAATTACAATAAATCACCTCACGGTGAATAGATGCTTGGCCAAAGGCTTAAGGGATAAAAAGTGAATACATTCCTGGTGCAATCACAACCATCTTTTTCACCCAATATCCTGAGTTTTTGTCATTATTTGTTCCTCACAGTTTACCACTTACATGCACATTCTTAAACATTGTAACTTATTTATTTGTGCTTCTGCTTAAACTTTATATGAATTGAGTCACACTGTATGTAATCTTTTGTGCTTTACTTCATTTGCTCAACTCTGGGATTCATCCATGTCATCAATAGCAGTTAGTTTTTTCTTTTCTTTTTTCTTTTCTTCTCTTTTTTCTCTTCTTTTTTCTTTTCTTTCTTTTCTCTCTCCCTCCTTCCTTCCTTCCTTCCTTCCTTCCTTCCTTCCTTCCTTCCTTCCTTCCTTCC